CAGGGGAAGGCCCCCCCCGCCCGCCGGGGGGTTTGCCGGGGGGCGCCCCCACCTAGGGCGCTTGGCGGGGGGGGCGGGAGGCCGCCGGCGCCCCGCTCGCTTCCAGCAGGCGCGCCCGGCAGTTCCGCCGCGTCCCCGCTGGCGGTGGCACCTCGCCGCTGCCTGCTGCGAAGGCGCGGCTTTTGTCGTGCAACCCCTGATCAGCCCCTGGCTCGCTTCCCCAAAACGTGCTCCGAATCAGATCCGGAGGATTTCCCGCCTCTCAGCATCAAACTGAATAAGAATCTCTGCCCGCCCTTCTCTTCTTCAGCTCCCTCCTTCTGGCAAAGCAGAACCAATTTCTGCTCGGTGTAGTGCTCCTGGCTTCTGCAAATCCCGTGACACCAGCAGGGCAGGGGCACCCGGGGCTTCTGGAAGAGGTGCCTGGCGCAGCAGCACGAGTGTCAGACGCTTTTGCCCCAGGGCCACGGGGTGCGGGTGGGCAGGGCGCCCGGTGCCCGAGCAGCCCCTTCAGGGGAACTCCTCCCCAGCGCTCTCAGGGGAAGCTGCAGCAGCTGCAGACATGGCCTGTGCCCACTTACCTGGCCACAGAGGACTGAAGGAAGGCTGTGGACTTGGTGCCCTAGTGGGCAGCCGCCACTCACAGATGGCCCCTGGAAAGAGACAGAGCCAAGAGCTGTCCCACTGCTGGCTGTGATGCCCTGAGGCTCCCGAGGACGAACCGTAAAAGCAGCAGCAGCAGCAGCAGCAGCCGCCGCCAAGTTAACCTAAGTGCTGCCTCTCGCCCGCCCCCTCTCCGCGGCCAGGGGGTTGACGCAGACAGTGGCGGCAGCAGCAGCCTGGTGGTGGGCATTAAGGCCCCTCAACAGTTGCTGACAGGCATGGGTCAGCTGGGTGGCAACTGGTGTGTCCTCAGTGCAGGTGCCACCTTCTGTTTCCAGGCAGGCCTCGGGCATAGGCCTGTGTGCCAACCTAGTGCCAGCAGATCTTGTGCCAGCATCTTTCTAGGAGGAACCGGATTGGTGGGACTCATCTGTTGAAGTCCAAAGTGAGTACCTGGGGTTGCCCGCATCAGCCCAGAACTGGAGTTCCATGCCTGTGTGGTTTCCCGTCGCCATCTCGCTCTCCGATTGGAGAACCAAACCTAATCCGAGCGAAGACAGAGGGGGTCAGGCAAGGGCTCCATCCTGCCCAGCTGGACAGCAGGCCGCCTTGGTCGGGGCACGGAATTCCCAGCCCCCCCCCAACCTATGGCAGTCTCTGAGACAGGTGAGAACCGCTGCCCAGCAAGGGGGCAAGCGCATCCTGCCTTGTGTTTCTTCCTGCTTTCTGACAGCTGCAAGGGAGGTGCCCACCCAGGCTAAGTAAGGCCCTTGCCCAGGTCAGGAGACGGCGCATCAAGCAGCGCAGGGGGCATCGCTTGACTCACTCTGATGGCGACTTCCGGCAGTCCAGTCGTCTGAGCCAGTTCTGCCTGGGGGGTGGCTTTGGGGTACTGGCTTTTCTGGAAAGCTGGAAGAGAGAACGAGCAAGTCAGATAGTGGCGTTTACTGGCAAAAGGCCAAAGCAAGTTAATGCCATCATCCCGCCCCTCTGCTTCAAGAGGTTTGCGTGGGCATGATCCCTGTCTGCACTGCAGAGCTGTGGCCCTGGCTAAGCCATCACCTTCAGGGTTCTCTGCTGCTTCCTTCTGCAGCATTCATGCCTTAATTGATCTCTGCCATCCATCTCACAGCTGCTGCTTCCCCTAAACATGCTACCCTTTCCTTGAGGGAACTCGCCCCGCATTTCCTGATAATTTGAGTTGTTCTTTCCTCTATTTTTTATATGTCGGTGAAGTTCTTCCTGAGATGAGATGACCAAAACTGCCTTTTAAGTGACGTTTCTGGATGATGAAATACTGTTTTCCTGACCCACCAGTTTCCCAGAGTTCAACAAGGCCAGTGTGGGGGGCCCTGTCAGATCATCTGCCCCTATCCTTAGAGGCTTCTGGGCATGTAAGAAGGGCCTTTCCAAAGCCATCCTTCAGGAGCCCAGTTCTTTTGGGAGTTAGAAGACCATCAGGGCATTTCCTGTAATCTGGCCAGTAGCCATTATTTTAATGACTTTTATTTTTGGCTTTAATTAATTTCTTTCATATTTCAGTTTGTTGCATTTTGTTAGCTGTTTTGGGAGGCCTTATATGGCAAAATTCAGGATAGAAATCAAACAAATAATATGTAGAGAAGTTAAGGAGAGACGGTCTGTTTTACCAAGTGCTCCACCCAAACGTCTGGGCCCTCCTGGATCTTTCTTCTCTTATGCTGTCCTGACTCACCGTTTTCCAAGGCCTCCAACTGCTGCTTAGAAAAGACGGTCCTGCTCCGAGTCCTGGGCAGCCCAGCCGCCCGCTCTGTCTCCTGGGAATCGGATGGGGAGATGGGTGCCTCTGCCGGACTCATCCGCTTCCTTTCTCCTGTCAAGGGGAGACCTACGGGGAAGACAGAGCCCGGGCATCATGGGCAAAAGTGGACGCCCTGGGCCTTTGCAGCCAAGTAAACTTACGCAACTGCTAGGAGATTCAGCTTATCACAGGCAATAATTCTCCCCCCCCCTTTTTTTCTTGTCTGGAGCTTAACGCGCATGTGCACGGTACAGATTGCACATACTGGATCCTGTAGGACACGTACACAGCCAGATCTGGTGGCCTGGGAGAATTTTCTCCCATGGTTTTGTATGGTTGGATTGGTCATTGCTGTGAATGATGGGCTACCAGCTGATCTTCCTAGCTGGCCAATCTACCTGCCCAGATATAGAATTGGCATTGTTGCATCTTAGCATCTTGTCACCCAGACCCAGAATCCCCCTGGAGGCAGAAAGTCTGAGTCCTTTTAAAGCCAAAAGAGCGCTCTGAAGGCACAACTGGAGGAGGGTTGGAGGAAGAAGCGGGTACCAAATGTGGGGGAAACCAGGAGTACTTGAGACAGACAATCTGTTTCCTGAAAGACGGGTAAAACGTTTAGCTAAGAGTATTGGGTTTCACCTTTGTTTATTGTACTGGGCTGAACTGTCTTATATTTCTCCGTACAAGGTAGGGAACTCAGTATGTATGTATGTATGTATGTATG